CCAAAGGGTGAGTCAACTTGGAAGGGCAACATCCTTCTCTAAATTTTACCCCTGCATGGCCACAAAAGGGTGAGCCAAGTTGAAATGGCAACATCCTTCTCTAATTTTTAGCCTCGGGTGGCTCACTAAAGGGTGAGTCAACTTGGAAGGGCCACATCCTTCTCTAAATTTTGCCCCTGCATGGCCCACAAAAAGTTGAAATGGCAACATCCTTCTCTAATTTTTAACCTCGGGTGGCTCACAAAAGGGTGAGTCAAGTTGAAATGGCAACATCCTTCTCTAAATTTTACCCCTGCGTGCCCACAAAAGGGTGAGTCAACTCGGCATGGCCGCTTCCCTCTCTAAATTTTACCCCTGCATTGGCCACAAAAGGGTGAGTCAAGTTGGAGTGACCACTTCCTTCTCAAAATTTTACCCTGTGCACAAAAGGGTGAGTCAAGTTGAAATGGCAACATCCTTCTCCAAATTTTAGCCTCGGGTGGTGCAACAAAGGGTGAGTCAACTTGCAGCTTTCCTGGCCACTGCAGGCAGCACAGGTCCGTAAGCTGGCCACCTGCAGCAGCACAGTGCTCACAACACTCTGGCCACCTCCAGCAGCACAGCGCTGACGACACTGGCCACTGCAGGCAGCACAGCTCCGTAAGCTGGACATCCAAAGGCCTCGACATCCAGACAGATCTGGAGTGTAGAGGTGTAGAGTCTAGAGACCCACTAAATCTTGCAGAGGTTCAGATCCAGAGGCCAGGGGAACAGAGGACCAAAGGACCCGGGGCCTTACGGTCGCCTCACCTCTTCAAAATTTTACTGGCGTGCTAGAATGGAATGGCTTTCTGCGCTCTAAACTTTACTACTGTACATTCGGGTGGCTCACAGAAGGGCGGCGCCGCATATTTTATCAGCACTTGTGCCTCATCTGCGCACACACTTGTTGACTCAGCGTGCACACACCCCATCGGGGGGAATCAAGTGCGCACACAGGCCCTTTCCCGAATGTTGCTGCGTATTCCAAATTTCACCCCTGCATTGCTCACTTAAAAGTGTAGTCAACTTGGAATGGCCACTTCCTTCTCTATTTTTTCCCTCCAGTGGCTCACCAAGGGGTGAGTCAACTTGGAATGAGCACTTCCTTCTCTAAAATTTACCCCTGCGTTGCCCACAAAAGGGTGAGTCAAGTTGAAATGGCAACATCCTTCTCTAAACTCTACCCTCGGGTGGCTCACCAAAGGGTGAGTCAACTTGGAAGGGCAACATTCTTCTCTAAATTGATCCCCCTGCATGGCCCACAAAAGGGTGAGTCAAGTTGAAGTGGCAACATCTTTCTCTAAATTTTGCCCCTGCATGGCCCACAAAAGGGTGAGTCAACTTGGCATGGCCACTTCCCTCTCTAAATTTTACCCTCCAGTGGCTCACCAAAGGGTGAGTCAACTTGGAATGACCACTTCCTTTTCTAAACTTTACCCTGCCCACAAAAGGGTGAGTCAAGTTGAAAGTTGAAATGGCAACTTCTTTTCACAATTTTACCCTCGGGTGGCTCACCAAAGGGTGAGTCAACTTGGAAGGGCAACATCCCTCTCTAAATTTTACCCCCGCATGGCCCACAAAAGGGTGAGTCAAGTTGAAATGGCAACATCCTTCTCTCAATTTTACCCCTGCGTGGCCCACAAAAGGGTGGGTCAACTCGGCATGGCCGCTTCCCTCTCTAAATTTTACCCCGCATTGGCCACAAAAGGATGAGTCAAGTTGGAGTGACCACTTCCTTCTCATAATTTTACCCTGTGCGCAAAAGGGTGAGTCAAGTTGAAATGGCAACATTCTTCTCCAAATTTTACCCTCGGGTGGCGCAACAAAGGGTGAGTCAACTTGCAGCTTTCCTGGCCACTGCAGGCAGCACAGGTCCGTAAGCTGGCTCGCTGAGTAGCTGGCCAAATGGGGGATAGAACAGGAGTTCAAAAGTGGTCCTTGTTGTTGTGTGTGTTTTTTGGGAGATGCATCAAAAAATGCATTAACATAGAATACATAGATGCATCAAACAATGCATTAACATAGAATACATGACAACACTTGCCATTGCAGGCAGCACAGCTCCGCAAGCGGGCCACCTACAAAAGCCATCGAAAACCAAAGGCAAAAGCCACCAAAACCCAAGAGCCACCGAAAGCGAACCTTCCTTCCTGCCTTGCTGCCTTTCTTCCTTCCATCCATCCTTCCTTGCTTCCTTGCTTCCTTGCTTCCTTCCTTCCTTCCTTCCGTCCTGGCTTCGTACCTTCCTTCCTTCCTTCCTTCCTTCCGTCCTTCCTTCCTTCCTTCCTTCCTTGCCTTCTTGCCTTTCTTTGTTTCTTTTCTTTATTTTTTTATTGATGCATTTTTATTTTTTTCTTGATGCATTTATATTTTTTTATTGATGCATTTATATTTCTTTTTTGATGCGTCTCCCCGCGCGGAGGGCGATGAGTCTCATCGGGCGAGGGAAACGAGGGATTTCTGGGGTGGGACGCTGAGTTGTGTCACGTGACAAGGGCAATTCTTGGACCGGGAGGTGAGCAAGTGGTACCAAAACACGTCATGTAGGCTTCTGCATGTAGGTTTGCGCATGTTTTGTTGTTGTGTACGTATATGATATTGATTGATATTGTATGTATAGTTTGGAATCTCCCTGTAAAACGTCTCATCATCCGAAAGCTGGAGGAAAACCTAAGGAAACTGATAGGAATGGTGTGAGTGCAGTTTTTTGTTGCTAGGTTCGGAAGGTTTGTGAGGATATCCATATTTGCCATCAAGAATCATAACGTATCAATTAAACATCGGATGTGGCTCAAGAGAAAAACAAATGGGGACCCAAGTGCTTAGTGTTTGTTCCTTCTTATATATATATATATAACATGATTATACAGTATAATTTATGAATTTGATGAGAGAGAGAGAGATCTATGCTTCCTGTTCTTAGTGGGATTGACCGGTACACCATATTTGAGCTACATCCATGTATAGCCAGAAAGTCAAAACACGAGCACCTCTTTTCCATGTTGATTCATATAACATCAAACTATGTCAGACTATGGTCTGATATTTATTGCTGTGCCATGCTATGCCTGGTCATACATCAAGCTATCATCGACTCGACTCGATCAAGAGCGACATGCTCGTGACGCAGCTCGCGACGTGCCCTACGGCAGGCGACGCACGGTTAAGCGGCCACGGTGGATTGGACAATGAATGAAAGATACGTAATGATTTGCTCAAAGACATGGTGAGCGGTGTTCTATTTGGTGTGTGGCCGCATCAATAATCATGCCATATCCCTTCAAAACAAACAAAACACTGCTCATGTGACTGCCAACTGCGACCGACCACCGGGCTTCCCACCATTGGGGCGACAGCCTATGGCCACACGACAGGAAGCAGAATGCGACAGCAAGAACGCGGAC